ATTAGACGTGAGTAGTCTCTGATACCAATTGTTGGATTATATATCGCAGCGAAAGCAATTACAGTATCATATTCACGTGTGAATTAAACAATTAGCATATACGGAGATTATTCGAGTTACCTCTTGAAGCGTGAACAAAGCAAATCAATATCCGTCTCCAGTTCCAAAGTTGCAAGACCTCAGCAAACTTTCACAGTCTTCTACCGTGTTACCCAAATAATATCCGAAAAGAGAGAATTTCGGGTGGGCAAAATTCAAGGAAGAAAAATGTGTGTCTTTCCAGTGCTAAAAACGGCCAGCTATATCCCATGTATATATAACTACATTTTTAGGTTAAAACCATTTTTCAAAACCTGTTAGGTTTTCTTTTTCCACTAAAGAAAGGTTTCCTTTATTTCCTATTATTCAGGCACAGTAGAGACCACAGAATTTAATTAACAAGGCTTCCTATTATGGAATTAATTTCAAAATTTTTGAAATTAATTTCCACCATAATAAATTACGAATTATTCCACTAAAAATTCGTAATTGCACTCCTTAGTTCAATTTTGAAATTCTTCCATAAAACCTTATTTAACTCCACATGTTAAGATTCAGATACTAACCAATCAAATTAAATTACTGACAATTTAATTTATTGATTACTTCCTTTAGACTTTTGCTTAACTTATTTCATGTGTCGGATACAAAATCTATCGGGCGGGTTTACACATGAAAACTTATAAGCTTTCATAAAGGAGTATCATCAATCTCAAAAACTGAGACATGGATTCCATCAACTAATTATTAATTGGCCAATGTATATCATTATTGTCCAATTTACCAGGCTTATTGACTCACGAAAGAATCTCGCATTTTAATAAATCAAAACAATAAATGACATACACAACTAATAATAATTATATCAAGATTAAGAGTATAAGTACATTGAATGGACTAGAGAAAGTATATTATTAAGTGAGTATAAAATACTTATCTCTACTTGATCTATTCAATACATACAAAATGTACTAGCACAAGAAGTTGGAATTAGACCATTCCCATAATCAAGATAAATTACTTTTAATCTTGTGCTACAACCATTCCGATGGTTTGTCTAATTCCATCATTAGATTGTGAACATAAACTTTATGACTTATAAGAACTGATGATTTAAGCTTCCGTGTATAAGCTAAACTCTATACACTAAATCATCTACTATATAAGTAACGATTTAAAATAAAACTTTATTGAATTTAATAAGTAAATAAATAATTATTCCATAAAGAATATTATAACAATATGTATGGTTTATAGTATATCCTAACAGAAGGCACAGGCAGAGTCTTTCACCAAAGAAACAACAAGACAATGAGTCAAGCAACATAGCAATAAATGAAGACAAAAGGAAGAATGACAACAATCCAAAAGATGGGAAGGGATCAACAGCTCATAAGGACATAACAAAGTAGGATAATGAGAGAAAGTTGAAGGAGGTGATACCAGAAAAAGTGCCTGCCTGGGTAACTCCTTTAAACACAACCAGATACCAGCCAAAAAAGAGCTTGCAAGTGGAGGAGGCTAATACTTTTCAAGTGCTAGATAGACCCAAAACTAGTGGAAGAGGGCAAAGCAAGCAAATCAGAAATGAGGGAGGCCATTTAAAACCTCCCTCGGGAAATGGATAGTATCATGTGCTGGAACACTAGAGGGATCAATGGCACTAATAAGCAAAGGGAAGTAAAGATCCTTTGCAATAAAGAATCAGTAGGTATGGTTGGACTAGTAGAAACAAAAATAAAGGTGTGTAGAAAAGAAAAGATGGCCAATGCTATGTTTCCTGGATGGAGTTATGTTACTAATTTGAATTTCATTATAATGGTAGAATTTGGTTGACTTGGCGACCAGATTAAAACAACTTCTGTCATACCCCACACTTTATTCAAGACAAGGTTTCACGGAGCTGGGAAAATATGATTTTTTGCATGCCTCCAAGCGCTATCCTGATGATGTTAGAAGTTAAACTACATATATTAAAGTTGCGTTTCAATATTTTAGTACCATTTGCTGATCATGAATCTTTTAAAGATTTACGTACAGATAATAATTATGTAGCACGCATGTGTATGTTTTACTGCTAGCACGCACAAGTCTTTTTGTGTTTCTCCAACATTCGATTGATTACTGATTAAATTACCTTCGGTTTTCAAATCACAGTGGTTCCTTTTTTAAAAATTTATAGTTTAATTTCTGTTTTACTCAAAGATTTTATCTTCTTTTGCAGTCATTCTGTTGTTCTTCCCTTATATAATAGAGGACAGAACACGTGACATAACAATTGACTTTCAGTTTTAGCAACTTTTTGAACTCTCAGGACGAAGGCTATTATTCTTTGATTTTTCAGTAAAGTGACTCTCTTTGGTTCTTTTTTATATACTATAGGTTACCCATTAAGAAAATCAATGATAGCATAATTTTAATTGGTATTTGATTAAATTATTCCTTTATTTTCTTTAATGAATAGTTCATGAGCATATTGCCTTCTTAGAATAGGAAGGGTGGAATTGGAAGAAAAAAAAAATGAGACAATTTTTTTTGGCTAAAACGATAGATAGAAAGGAGCGAAAAGAGTGCTAAACTTAAAAGCGTGTATATTTTTTTCATGTAAAGCAAGTGATGAGATTCATTATTGACAAAACAGTTACAAAATTATGTCATTTGGGCTTTGGTCTAACTCTCCCCCATCCCCCACCCCCCAAAAACAACTCAAATAGGAATGTATAATATTATAATCAACGTATAATCCATGTATCTGGCTAGAAAAAGTAAACAATAAATATGGCCGGCTATTTGTGTAAATATCCCAAGTGTCCCTTGTTTCATTAATTATCTCATGGGGCAAGTGTACAGATAGTCATTTTCAGAGATGCTATTTAGACATTAGCCATAACATATTTTGTGCTAAAATTTTAAACTAAAAATCTTAACTTCAGGGCAACTCAGGACATTTTTGTCCTGAAAAATTAACGTAAAAAATTGAAATTCACGACGCACTGGCTAATTTCTAAATATCAGTCCTTTAGAGTGGCTACCTGATGTCAATTCTACTTGTCTCATCCATATTCCAAGAGAAGTTACATTCAACCTGCTATATTATTGAAGTAGAAAATGCACAATATATAACCTTTTTCTATATTTCATTCAAGCAAATGAAGATGTTTTAGAGGAGAGAAATAACCCTATGAGCGTTAATTTTTATTTTATAGTCGACCAAATCATATTTCTTTCAGAAAATCCTGTACGACACTAAAAATAAATAATATGCTAAAAGAAATTACCCAAAATATGCTAAAAGAAAGTTCAATAAGTAAACAAAGTTGTGCTTGTTTAATCTGCGGTTTTACGCCTCTTGACTAACAAAAAGACTTTTGCGCCAAAAGTTGGCTTTCTTCTTCAGTTTGGACACTTTTAGTTGAGCATTGCAAACAGAAAACCTGTTGCCTGGGCAGTGAACTTTTTTAAGAGGCCACATTTCCTCACATTTGTGACTTGTTTTTCTTTGAAAATTTAACAATCTCTTATGAAAATGCTTGTGTTACTATAGTCCATTGACCATTAACACACTGCCAATAACCATTTCAGTATTATAATTCCTGCATAACTAATGCATACACTAATGCATTTTATTCATGCGCTATTTTCATTTTGGCCTCACAAATAGCAGAAGGAGACATTGCTATATTCTTCATTCCTCCCCTCTGTACTTTTATCATTAGTCAGAAAATGGAGCAGAGAAGGATATCTACCTCTCAGAATAATCAAAGGAGTAAAATGATTCAAGCAAAACTCACAGCCTGATTCTTCTATAGCTTAAGAAGGGGTATTTCAGTTTGATATCAAAACAGTGTTGCAACAGTCTAACAGAAATAACAGGCAAAAAAGCTGAATGGGAAATCAGAAATTATTGAAATAGGATCCAGCAACTTCAACAACAACCACTACAACATACCCAGTATAATCTCACAAGTGGGGTTTGGGGAGAATAGTGTGTACGCAGCCTTACCCCTGTATCCGATAGACCGATCCAAATCTTACATATATGCATCTAACTGTGACGGAATCTCAAGGAACTTGATGAAAATTCTCATCCATCTAAGATTAATGCCCCCGAGATTTTTGGGAGGGACAGGACAAGAAAGATTACCTAAGTCTTGTGGACTCTCTGCTGATATAGTAATTTCAAAAGATGAGTAGTATTCATGTCTGCATTTATGCCTTTTCTACCAACAAAATATAGGTGCAAGTTTTTTCTAATGAAACAGGTAAAATCAAGTCCAAGAAGTCACCTCCACAGTAAACATTACTCACATATATTCTGAAGGGGGTGGGTGATTGAAATTCTTTGGGAAGTTCCTTTTCAACCCAATAAAAACAGTCAAACTAATGAACAAAAGAATATCAAATACTAGCATGAAGCTGCCCTTTTCTGTTTATTAAAACAGCTAATTGAAGCTTGATAAACCCCTTTCTTCATTAGTCTGCCATCTTCTTGTAGTCATTGGCTCTTATACACATGATTTTCAGTAACTTTACTCCCTCTTTCCCACTATAAGTACAGTGGCTGATTAACGAGACAATACTTGTATAAGAGTAAAAGTAAATGTAAAGTACTAGCAGTAGTTAATAAATTAGTAAGACTGGGAAAAGGTGTAATAATATCTCCTTTAGTTGTCTATATTTGAATTTTTCAAATGAAATAAATTCTTGAAGAAGATTGAGTTAATTACTGAATATTACTATCAGGAAAGTGTGTCATACATTCTGGGTGGAGGAGTATCATTCAATTCTTAAGATGTTCCTCAAACCACTTCTCCAGCAAAGTAAAGGGATACGGCCTACAGCCCCTCAGCCCCACCTAAAATTTGGCAATTACCCTTCAAGAATATAAGATATAAAGTAAGACACTCAGAGTAGAAACAGAATGACATTTTACTAAGTCTCTGTTTATTATGCTCAAGAGGTCATAAGAAATGCTATAGGATATAGCAGACTTATTATCGATGGGGAAGAAACATAGAAAGTAGCAAAAATATCTTTAGGCGTGTGTAACCAGGCATTTGTATATACATGTGATGCAATGGAAACGAAAAAACTGCAACTACTATTACTATGCCTCAACCTCAAACAAGTCGGGATAGGCTCCACATTGCTCCAATTAGACCCATCTCAATCCAAATAGAAAAGAAAAGAACACTTAAAATATTTAAATGAAGCACTCATATGGCAGTTAGAAGGAGTAACGGTGAAGCTGCAACTAACTTGGACAATAATAGACAAACAAGAACCTCACATCGCTTGTAATCTACTGCATCCCCCACTCTGTCCATCCAAAGTAATTCCTGTACAACATGAGTTTTTAACTATACTTTGATGAAACTTGTAGTTGATATAAGTGTAAAAAAACTGCTTGATCTGTTAATTTCATTATCCATTTTCTTCGAAAATGCTTATTGTGATGTAACACTGTGCTGAAGTACTTCAAAAAGTTCGAGCAATGACCTCCTTGGCTCCAAGCATTCAGAGAAGATAGGGTTTCTATCAGCAGCACAACTTTAGTGAAGGCACTTTGTACCTTCACAAATAACTAACCAAATCACAAACAACACAAGACATACCACAACATCAATTGCAAGGACAATGCGTACGTGGCGACACCACCTCCTTTGAAAGTTTTGAGATCTTGATATGGTCCTTACCAAGCTCAACTCTTTCTGTGACGTAATTGGAGGAACTACTGAATCAATAACTTGCTCTGTAGATTTTTGTTGCTCCTCCAACTCAGTATCTCTAATAGCAATTGCATAATCCTTCTTTTTCTTCTTTTCTTGTCTACTAGGCTTGCCCAATAACAACACTTTTGTTGAAGCACTACCCTCAATTTCCCCATTGACATTTCGACATGGTAAAATAACAGGAATTGATTTTTCTTGTAAACAAATTGAGTTTAGATTAGACATAGTCCAACAAGAACCCATGTTAGCCAATTTTCTAAATTCATCCTTCAATTGTTCAAGAAACTTTAAAACTTCAGCATGACCAAGACCCTCATCTACAATAGCAAAGTACACATACTCATCAACTTCTATCAAAAACCCAAAAGTCTTTTTAGCCATGGTCTGAAAATACCATTTATGGAAAGGAGGAATTCTTTCTAAGCACAATGCAGCCAAGTTCTCAATCTCAAGATCTTCACCATTATTATATGCATAAAGAAGTTGACCACCTTTAGATACTGAGCAGTAGTAAACAGTTTTTTGGATTGAACCCATCTTCTAGTAAACTAAATATCACAGGAAAATTAGCTAGCTAGTCACTGTTGACCACTAAAGGCTGAGCTCAAAGTGAAATCAAATTGCAAATTTTGAAGAAAGCCAAAAAAGCTTAGATCCTTAAGTAATCAAGATTGAGATGTATGGTTGTACTGTGAGACTTACCTGAGGAAGTTTATTCCCACATGAAAAGTTCCAATCTTGGAGAAAAAACCAAACTAGTAAAGTACAGAAAGTTTCCTGGTCAATCAGGAAAACAGAAGAAACAATTTAAGATGTGTGGTGTACTGTCACTCTGTCAGATTTACCTGAGGAAGCAGAGAGAGAAATGGGGCCAAGTCAACTGGACTGTACTGGAGTAGTATTTATTTCACATTTACAAGAATTGGTCAAACCAAATACTACAATTGAAAACTGATGCTCCTAATTACTGAGGCTTGCTAATTTCTGTCCAAGTTAAAAATGAGTCCTTGCCTGTTTGAAAAATGGAAGATATATAAATTTGCCCTACACTATAGAAAATTGTCTAACTATTCCATCTGTTAGAAGTTTACAATAAAAAGCCCATTCTGTTGCAAAAACAAACCTGTTAGAAGTTGACAATAAGTAACCTCGCTGTTATCTTTTTGTATTATATTGGACCATTTTGTTTGCTTAGTTGAAAAATAAGGACAAATATAATACAAAAAGGTTACAAAGAGGTAACTTTTTTTGCCAACTTCTAGCGGAGGGTATAGTTTAGTAATATTACAGGAGTAGTGTTTACTGTTTAGGGGCAAAAAGGGCCTTTTCCCTTTGAAAATTGTTACACCAAAATACTTTAAGTTTTATATTACAGTATAAGGGAATCATAGCACTTTTATAGGTACTCAAACTCAACTAGGAATAAGTAGAAGCTAAGTCCAAAGAAGTTATGTAAATCTTAACAAATCAAGGACCCCTAATTTTGTTGCAATTTTCACGTTTTGCTTCTAATTAGTAGAAATTTTTGTTATGATGTGGTTGGTTTCAGAAGTTGATAAAATTTGTACAAAGCAAGTCATGACTTTCCAGTGCAAGCAGATATAGAATTGTCGAGACTTAAGATGAGCGCTTCTCAAGATAACTAATAAATCTCAAACCAATCAAGTCTGTTTTACTTCTAATTTAGTTGATATTGATAGTATGACTTCATTATGCTCTACTTGAATCCGTTTCATTTCATGCAATGCGTGTAGGGAATGCATCATATTTCAACTATTTGTATTATTGCAACCTCATACTTAATAAGTTTCTGCCAACTTGAAACTGACTATGGATATAACTCATATATGCAGTGCAGAGCTCGTAAGATTATCAGTCATGACAATTGACAACTACCAGAGTGCCAGAGAAATATAAACGCCTGAGACACAATATAGTATTACGACGATACATCATCCAATTTCTTCCTGAAAATACATAATACATCATCCAATTTCTTCCTGAAAATACATAACTAAAGTAAAGAAAAAGAAAGAAAGAAAGAAAAAACAGGCTTCAATTATCACTCAGGAATGTTAAATGGTACAAATCTGCAGATATTTCATCATTCCATAGGCTTGCAGTGAAGACTTTTGCTTGCTTCAGCTTCTTCTTATCCCAGACAGTAATATGATGCAAACCTCTTATGGAGATATATGGAGCTGTTTGCCTCTCATTTCCTGATAAAAGTTGAAACTTGAGGAGCATGGTAATGAATTCTGAGATCTAAACAAAACTGGACTATCTTTGGAATCCTAACAAAAGGGGCAAACTTATGCTGTCATATATATCCTGCACCGTCTCATCCCTATTGTCTCCTAACACACATCAAGCAGCGTGGCTAATATTTATCTTCCCTAACTTAACAAACATCAAACTGAATCAGATCTCCCCTATAAAGCGACATTACTTTCTTTTCTCGAGTCCATGACATTGTCAACATTAAGACTATCGCCATCTTCTTCATTAGACGATCTTTCTTCTGTTTCTTCTCTGGTTTCTGGTTTTGGATTTGATTGGCCTATTTGAGGTCCCTCAGAACATTCAGAGTTTCTTTGATGAGATGTTTCATCAGCATCTTGTTCACTTGAACTTGTCTCAGTAGTTTCTGCTCTATCAGGCGTTTCTTCAGTGTTAGCTTTCGTTGGAGTAAGGATAGATTGGCGGCAGAGGGGGCAGGTGTTATGAGTGACTAGCCAGTGGTCAATGCAATCCATGTGAAATGTGTGCCCACAAGCAGGTATCTGTTGAAGCTTATCCTCTGCTTCGTAATCCCCTAAGCACACTGAACATCTGTCCAAGGAAAGATCAAACTTCATCAGAAAACAATGTTTAAATATTGAGTTATGTCTCTACGAAACCTTTTGTTTTCTTCAAAGAATCGGTTGCAAACTAAAATAGAAAAAAAGAAAGTTAAAACTAAGAGACTTTGCAAATTGATGGTTTAAAGACGAATCCCTCAAAGAATTTTTTTCACAAAGATCGTCAAACTGAAACTTCTACATAGTTAATAAATAAAGAGCTATTTTCTATTCTCTCCAACATGGAATTGAATATTGAGGAATTTTCAGAAACCACTATTGTTTAGTGGCTATTAAATTCCTATAGCTAACATATACATAATTACTTCCTATAGCTACTATTCAGTTGTTACGGTAGTGTATTCACATGTATTTGCGCTGTTGTATTCATGAATACAGCAGCAAAAAGCGCATAAAATCAGGGCAGTCCAGCTGTACGCACATGTATTCACATGTATTCGCGTCATGTATTCATGATACAACAGTAAAAAGCGCCTAAAATCAGGGCAGTTCAGCTGTACGCGCATGTATTCACATGTATTCGCGTTGCTGTATTCATGAATACAGCAGTAAAAAAGAGCTACGCGCATGTATTCACATGTATTCGCACCATGTATTCATGAATACAACAGCAAAAAGCACATAAAATCAGGGCAGTCCAACTGTACGCGCATGTATTCACATGTATTCGCGCTGCTGTATTCATGAATACAGTTGTACGCGCATGTATTCACATGTATTCGCGCCATGTATTCATGAATACAGTAACGGCAATTCCTTAAAAGTGGGTATGTATAGCTGTCTAAGAGAGAGGAAAAATATAAATAGCGTATTTCATGCCTCAATGGTAGTATATACCATAAAATACTTATTTTGCTATAAAATATAAAAGGTAGCTATAGAAACTAAAATTTTAAAATGATTTTGATTTATAATAAATAGGGTGTATACCTTTGTTATAGAAGGTAAAATTTCCTTAAATATTCATAACGGAAAAGGCCTAAAAATGCCACTCAACTAACATAAATGGCTTTTTAACGGATGGCATAGATAGGCCATTTCTGTTAGTTGAGTGGCATTTTTAGGCCTTTTCCGTATTCATAATAACAAAAGCAAATGGTGTTGCATTTCCCAGCAACAATTGCTACAGAAACCACCATCAGAATTGTAGTACTAAAGTTGTGAGAATATCTTGGTTTTAAGATAAAAAATGAAATTAGCTGCAAGTACAAGAACATGAAGGTAGAACAAACAAATGTCTAGGACCAAAACTCCGCAATATCAAAGGCTATTCATGACTGTGAGGACCAGTTAAATATTTTCACACGTTTTCAGCCATCACAAGATCCACATATCATTGTTCGTGGTGTGTAACATTAAGAGGCACCTTTTCAGAATATGACAAATTTGCTGCCAGTTCTGCAAAGTTTACTGAAATCAATAATTATTGATGGGATATATTTATGCTAGCATAATTCTTTATGGTACTTTCTTTCCAAATACACCTTCAAAGCAGGCAAGTGACTCAGTAGCTGGTCGACTAATTCAGTGTAAGAATAACAATAGCTCTAGAAGTCGGAGAAATTTGCTAGATATCTTTGAAATTATGTTTGGATACATATGTCATGTTTTCATCTATCCAGAAAGTGTGAAGTTTCATTCATATCTCAAGATTACATTCTGTATTTTCGCGTCTGCAGATGTATCTAATATTGCTACCAAAATTACTCCAAATGCATTTACATGAACTTGTAACTTTTTTCCAGACTAATGAACTGTAAGATATTTAGATTGAGCAAATGTTGTAACATGGTAGCTCAATGCTCTGACAGAATTTGAATAGGTATTTTCACTCAGACAATAAACTACTTGGAGATGCCACAAAGGTAAAGAACTTGACATAGCTCACTTCTCACACAAGAGAGAGCAAATTAAAGAGGCGTTCATTGTAAGATGTAGTGATTTCATTTGGCATCTACTATAATTCCAGACTCCGACATTTATTTGATTTTCTATGGTATGCACCATTATCTCCCTTTATCCTACCTACCCACTCGTTGCACTATCAACTTGTACAATATGTTATGATTTGTAATTCTCAACCGGCTACATCTTGGAGATATAACAGTCTGTTAGAAGATTTACAACAAACCATTGACTTATTTGTAATTGTATCGCCTATACTGCACTCCGCTCCTGCACCCAAACAAGTTACATAACGACTACTTCCCTCCCATGACCGAAAGAAAAAAGCCTATATTTCTAAACAATTAAAGGCTAAATTCGTTAAATATGTATAAACTATTATAATATCAAATATCTTAAAATTGTTGTTCTACAATCCATAACCCATAAAGTTAAAATTCGGGCTCTGCCTTTAATTGCATTACGTACTTTTGCGTGGGGAGGGGGCAGAGCCCTATTTAGCCATCTCTTCACATCAGGTTCAATTGAACCTCCTACTGTCGGCTTGGACCATGTATACATATGCAATACAAATAGACATAAAAATGTACATAGACGATAAACTGCAATCCTCTAAACATATTACTTCAAATTTTAGATCTGCTGGTTGGAAGTCTGTACTTAAAAAAATACTAGCCAATACTAATATAATTTACATACAAAAATGTAAGGCAGACAGAAACTTACTGAGTGTCATTGACAGAGAAACTTTCCTTGAACACAATAATAGGCAGCATTTCCCTCACCTCCTTCTTCAATCCCAATTCACACTGGTAAAATACAACCAGAATAAAAAAAGATTAAAAAAAATAAGATTTAATCTTAACTAAGAAAAATAAAAAATTACACACAAAAATTGTTCCTTTACATACCTGTGACAGTTCATCTGGTTCAGTAGCAGAGTGCAATGTGGAAGTCCTCATTCGCAGAGAGGACCAATCGACTCTCTGACGACGAAGATAAAATAAGTAGAATAACAATAATAAGATAAAAACAAAGAAAATAGGGATTGAAAAGATGAAAGCTTGATAAAGCTTCAATTGAGCTAAAGCTTCAGAGCAACAATTAGAAGATGCATTATTATTATTATTACTAGTAATTCCACTGCTTTCTTGTAGATCTGGGTACCCTTTTCCAGCAACAGACATTACTGAAAATGCTTCAATGGTAGTCAAATGTGACTAAATTTCACACTTAAATGGGAATTTTAGGAAC